TACGCATTAATGTGTCCTAGTGTTTAATCTGTGGGGCTGAAATCAAATTAGTTGAACCTTGAGGTGACTGTTGCTTTGAAATTTGATTAGGTCAACTAGTAGGGCCAAGTGACTCATAAAATGACATTGGCTCATGCACGCCTGCAGCACTACTCGAGTGACATGCATGGATGGGATTAATTGAACCATCAAAGTTAATCACTCTAATACTATATTTTTCAATCATCAAATCTTCTGACCATTTTATTTCAGTTATTACACAAAAATTCCTAATACACATTCCTTCAACAACCATCTTTTGTATTGGGCTAGTTTTGCATGCTCAAGAGATTCTTATATCTTTGTACTTGGGCGTGGCGGCCCAATGCATTGCTTCAAGCATGTTCAAGAATTTTACTTTCCTCAGCAAGCTAGAAACTGATACTTGCTTTACAAAATGTAATATATATATATATATATATATATATATATATATATATATATATATATATATATATGTGTGTGTGTGTGTGTGTATAGAAGGCTTTTAAGGAAAAGGATTCCTAATTTTTTTTTTAAATGGGAATTAGTTGTGGGACCCACACCACATCAAACTTTAAGGATCCGAATCATTTATTTTTCAAGTTGCACTTTATAGATTATCATTACAAAATATTAGCGAAATCGGAAGTATTTGAGGTATTTAATTGAGTTCAAATAAATTAATGAACACTTGTTCCAAGAATAACTTTGAAAATTTCATCGTGATAATTAAATAGTAAATGGTTTCGAATTGAATTGAATTTTTACAAGGATGATCTTTTGAATCAAGACTTAAAAAGTAGACGGTTCGGATCGTTGAAGTTTGATGTGGAGTGGATCCCACAACCTGATCCCCCAATAAAATTGCCTATATATATATATATATATTTATTATCTTCCAATAGCGAAGGGTCTGGGATGCTGAAATATCAAGCATATATACAAAAAAAAGATATACAGCCAGGACCAGCAAAAGAGCTGCAACTTGTTGAATTTGTCATCAATCAAAATCTCAATCAAAGTTTTCTTGGTATTTCATAGCATTTTATGATTAAGGATTCAGGACTCATAGGTGCGGGAACATGTATAATTTAATCATGCAATAAGGTCGAGGAATATGCAGATCAATATCAACTAAGGTAATACTAATTTTGATGAAAAGAAAGCTATTACTAATAAATAGGAAATTTTAAATAGAAATTAGTAGTTCTGTGGAGAAGGGGAAAAGAGTGAGGCATGCACTGACCCAGCTGAACCACTTTGAACACTGTTTTGGTCGAATTTCAAAGAGAAGCTTCTCAAGGGCAACTCAGTCTTTAGCAATTTGGGTTTGGCTACGTACGACTTTCTAATTCATGCTGTTATAATAATAATAACATACAGATAATCTAAACATATATATTATCTTCACGTCGGTCCAATTTGGTTGTATTAAACTATGATAAAATTGTGATCCTCCTCCCTCCCCCTTCCTTCCTCCACCTCTTTTTGTTTATTTTTCTTAGACCATTTTCTTTCTAATTTTTAATATCATTAATGGGTTAATTAGCAAAGTATAACTCTATTTCTAACAGCGGTGGCCGTAGAAGATATCTTAAATTTGAATATTGTATATATGCATAAAAGAAGAATTATGTTAGCTTATAGCATCGTATTTTGCGGCCGTTTGAATGTTAGTAATTTATATTTTGCGGCCGTTTGAATGTTAGTAATTTATGAGCCGTTAATATATATATGAATGAAATACAATCATATTATCGTTAGTCATTGCCAAATGACACTACACATAATTGCATGAATAAGCTGGTTGTGCAACAGTCATAACTAAGGTTTTAAAAGACACTAGGCACTAGACGGGTGGCGGGCTAGAACCTAGCACCTATGTGTTAACAGTACGAATCTTAATGAATACTTAGCTTAAGAATTGAGATTCAGAGAAAGAAATGAAAGCAATGAGAGAGAAAGAGAATGAAGAAGAAAGACTTTGAGCTTCAATTGATAAGTGAGAGAGAATACATTCTCTGCTTTATAAGCAGTAGCCGTTACAATAATTCTAAGAAACTAATAGGCCTTTAACAAACTAATAGATTCCTAATAGAGCTCCAACCAATCTAACTGCTCTATGATGCCATGGACACTAACGAATACAATTGTGACACTTGTACATATTCTATTCCTTCACTTATCATCCCCCCTCAATCTCAGCTGGGGTAACCAAGCCTGAGATTATAGCAGTGTTTAACAAATGTTAGTCCATGTAATCCTTTAGTGAGAATGTCTGATGTTTGCTCTTCTGTTGGAATGTATTGTACCACTAAGTCTTTCCTTTGCACTTTCTCTCAATTGAAGTGAAAATCTGTGTCCAAATGTTTAATTCTAATGTGAAACACTAGATTGGAACATAAAGCCAAAGCATAAAGGTTATCACAATGTAACAAAGGTGTTTAAGCAATGAATTGATGTAGATCATTTAACAAAAGCCTAATCCATACCATGTCTGCAGCACAACGTGCTAAAACCTTGTATTCTACCCCTATAGAACTTTTGGCATGCTTTATAAATTGTATTCCTTATTCCTAAATTGTTCAACAAAAAAAATATATATTTGTTTAAAAATTTAGTAAATAAGGGGTGAGTCTAGTAATCTTGCATTCATTTTAATGGTAGCCTCGGGAATTTTATTCCAGGATATTGTTATCCTTAACCAGTTACCATTTCGAGTTTCAAATCCCCAAGCTCAAGCAGTTTAGTCTAGAAAAGATAGAAAAAAATGAAGGAGTTTTTAATTGTCTATTATTTAATACCAAGGCTATCTAACTTATATTGACATTCGATACTTCATCATTCCATTCTTAAGCGGATCCGACTTACAAAAACGGCATTCCATCATGATCCATACCGCGTCTGTGTGAAAGCATAAGCTCTGTTTGTTTGGAAAGTCTATGAATGTTAATTAAAAATAAAAAATTAAAAACTTCTGTTATAATTCGAGCAGCATTTTCTTTGAATCGGATTTCAAACATTTGGTTTTGGTATTTAAATCCAATCAATTTTCTTTTCTTCTTAAATGTTTGGCCTTAAACTGTCATTTTCCTCTTAATCGGTCGTCCCTTTCTTTTCAACCTTTGTCTTTATGTAAATGGCAAGAGTTTGGCCGCATAGTAATTGGGTTATAGCCATTGACGCTTGGACATTTAAACTCTAAGCTTAGCATATATGGATGGGGTTAAACATCCTATTCTCCTTCCCCATGCTAAATAAGTTGGCAGGATATGTAAAGACTAAGAAGCGTTTGGTGCTAAGGATTGGATTGAAATGCATAAAATATTTCAAGGTATGTTGAAAGAAAAATTGAAAACATTGTGGCCAATTCGGAAGTAGGAATTAATAAGAAAACTTAGGGTTGATTTGGGATTGTGGTGTTTTTTTTTAAAAAAAAAAAACAGCTTATTACAAAAAAATTAAAAAAACTAATGTCAATAATAGTAGAAAAGCAGAAGTATAGCCTACCATGCTTATAAAAAAAGGGATGTGATATCCACACACTCCTTTTTACTTCTTCCACACCTTTTTGGTTTTTGACCGTCGGATCGGATGAATTGAAGAAGATCAACGGACATAAATTAACAAGAGGTGTGTGAGAAGTAAAAATGGGTGTGTAGATAGCACATCTCTAAAAAAAAAACTGTTTTTTATTAAGCATAGTGATCAGTACCAATTTAATGAAATTTTCAAATGGTTAATATACCCCCAAAATTTTACAAAATGACAATCTTTACCCTTACATTATTCTCTTTGACAATCATTATATAACATTAAATACCATATCTTTTTCTAGCCATTTAGCATATTCACAATTTTATCTAAAAGTTTACCAAACACTTAACAATTTTATTTTACAGCTGTTATTCTTACAGCACAGTAGAAGCGGTTTTTTTTTTTTTTTTTTTTTTTTTTAAAGCACAGTAGTACCAAACTAGCCATTATTCACTACAATCATTCCTAAAATGGTAGGATGAAAGGAAAAATTCCATTCATGTTTAGTCTCCTTTAATCCGATCCCCTATATGAAATGAGACCTAAATTTAAGAATGTCATAAATAAAATAGTTTCGGAAAAGCTATACAACAATAACCCCTTGGATATATATATATGGAGCACTTTAATTCAAATATTTTAAACTAAATTTGTGATGCCAATTAGTATTACGATTTAGAGGTATTTTTCTTCACTTGTAAGTGAGATCTTTTTTTTTAACAAACAATGTTATCTACATTAAGGAGGTGGGGGAGTGCGCTAAGCCTAACAATGGGCTAGGAATAATGTAGTTCAAATTCTCTTTTGGCGAGAGTCGAATCTAAGAACTCTCACATACTAGTGAAGAGAAATACCACTAGATCATAATACTAAATGATTGTAAGTGAGAGATCTTATATTCGAGTTTTGTAAATAGCGAATTCGAAACAAATTTATTCTAGGCTTTTGAGTAGTAGCACTTCAAAAAGATTGGAATTGAAAAAAAACAAAAAAAAACTAGTGTGAGATTGCATATTGATTTTAATCTTTGAAGTGTACTTTTATTAAAATTCATATTATATTTTTGTTATTTAATGTCTTCACATTAAAATTTTGATTTTATTAATATCACTACAAGAAAAATGGTCTTTGGGCACAAAATTAGGGACACAAATGAGGTTTTTGTGTGCGTTTGAACACCAATAGGGTTCATTCCCTAATGGGCACCATATATTGTGTGCAATGAAAAAGGACACAAACACATTATTGGGCACAAAACCATGACTTTTGTGCCTTTAATTTCAGCAATGGAAATTTTGTATTAATTTGCAATGACACCATAAATGTTATTGTGCCCTATAATTTAATATATTTAAAGTAAAAGTAGATTTTTTGTGCCCTTTGTTTAAAATAATGTTTTAAATAACATAAAATAAAATGGGTTCCTCAATTTTCACGCCTTATTCTCTCCGCATTTGCTTCCTTTTGTCTCTGTATGTTTCCCATTAAAACCCAGCCTCTCCTCAATTCCTCCGACTCTCCTCTCTCTCTCTCACTCCCCTTCCCAATCGAACCGAGTCTCAACCGCAGGTTCTGTCTCTCTCTGTCTCTCTCTCTCTCTTTCCCCCCCTTCCCAATCGAACCGAGTCTCTTCAACCCGAGGCTCTCTCTCTCTCTTTATCTTTTTCCCAAGTTTTTCTATTTTGCAGATTCTATTTCTCTCGCCTCTCCCCTTCCCAATCAAACCGAGTCGAGTTCGCATCTCACGCTAAAATAGAATTTGCAAATCCTTCCCCTTCAAATTTCACACACACTGCGAATAGGTGGGTCTCAACTCAAATCTCAAGTCGAGTTCACACATTCTCACAGACTCTGCAAATCATTCTCCTTCACACACAATTTGCAAATCAGTCGGCCTCAACTCTCATCTCATCCCCAGTTCCTCTTCGGTTCAGTGTCTGCATAATGCGATTCCTTCCTCTCCACTTCGTTCCAGGTAAAATGGTAAGAACTTAGAACTTGTATTGGTTAATTTGGTTAATAATTTGTCATTAATTTTAGGGTAGGGGAACTGAGCTTTTTTCTCTTGGAGTTAATAATTTAAATGTTAAATTGAAACCTTTAAGAACTTCAGTGACACCTTAACTACAACGGAAACATAATTCTTTCTTTTTCATTATTTTCTTTTTTATACCCGCTGGCTACAACTGATGTAGCCTTAGTGCCTTCCATTACTGTAATTTCCTATGTACGGACACAAAGTTTAGCTCAAATTTGTTCATATTTCTTATTGATTGTACAATTCAGGTTGATTGTTCACATTTGTGCCTTGTCATTATGAACGCATCTGTCCAATTCAGGTTGATTGTACAGCGAGTGGTTTTTCTTATTTGTACAGTAGGCAATGATTCTTTAAGGAAGTTGAACTGCTCAAATTTTTGTGTACTGACCCCGAATCGAATTGTTTGGGATTCCAAAGTGAAAGAAATAAGGCTTAATTGAAAATAAATCAAATTATTGATTGTGTACTTGTAAACTTGTGTTGGTTGTTCAGGTGCCATGGATACAAGTTAGCATGTCCCTGTCACTACTGTTAATGGTTATGCCTCCAGTTTTCCTTATGGTTGTTGGAATGGGAAGGTATGAAATTCGCCCTATTTCGTTGTGTTTTTCTGTTATCACGAGATTAATGCTTTAATACTATAGTAGAAATGGGAATTTATGCTCCTTTAGTTTATTTCAATTAAGTCACTTTTAGAATTAACAATTACCATGCATCCAATTCTAGGACTTGATATTTATTTGTTGCGGAGTTTTTTTCTACATCTTGTATGTGACTCCACTTCTCACATACTCTGCAAGTAGCTAAACTTGGTAATGAATTTTTACAGGCAAGTCAGATGCTTTCTCAAACATGAACTCAAAGACAGATAGTAGAATTGATATAAAAATAATGATGTTTTTTGTATGTTCTTAGGGTGCACTCCTTGTCTAATGATGTGTAATTTTTGTTACATAAACAAAAGGTTTGTCTCTTCTCAAAAATAATAATCCAAAAGTTATTAAGTGATCTTCTGATTGCCTTTGTATCCAATATCTTTAAATCCAACGGTGTGTTCAAACTGAGTAGATTTGTTGGACATTATTCGTCTTAAGACAGGCCAGACTTATATTATGGGTGAGAAGCAAAATTCATTTGATGAATTTGAATTTAGCAGTCTCTAGATAGCGTCTTAATAACTTGATGGGCTGAATGCATTGGCCTCTACTTGCAGATTCTGCACATCAGCTTGTTAGTCTTTAATGCTCTTGCGATAAAGGGCGTTTCAGCTCTCTGGTGGCAGTCGATCAGTGTTTTCCAAGAAAGAAAATGCCAATGCAGTTCTCCTTGTTGCAAGCCAGGTGAGACATATGTACATCTATCCTCTCAAAACCTTGCACATTTCTTTTTCTTTCTAAAGTTTACTTTCGCTGACCACTATGAAATATGTTTGCCCTCCAACTGTTGAACTTCCCATCCTTGGTGAAAATGTGACTTGGTCTGCGATCTCTTGTAGGCCAAAATGACATTATTTAGGATAATTATCAACTTTTGTTGTTGTAAGTTGCAACTTAGTACAAAGAAGTATCAACTTTTGTCTTGCTTATCCACTTACTGATGTCCAGAATTTCAAGGTATGGTGATGTTCTTATAGTGGAAAAACTTTTATTTCAATTGCATATTGTTGTAGGTTCTATTCTTATGTATTAAGATTATCTTGTTTTACATTACTATAATCATTAAATTATTGAGTTTACTAATGTTGTTGTGTAGGAGGATAGGGAAAAACCATTTGAAGGAATACTTAAATAGAAATGGAAGATCTTCTCCTGATGATCATCTTCATTAATTCGTTTATGGAGCAGCAGAGATTCGATGAGGTGCAAGGCTTGCTGGGGAAGATACATCCATCAAAAAATGTCTGCTTTCAAGTTCTTTTTGCATTAGAGATGAAATATGTAACATTACAATATATGTTTGTGAAATCGGGAATGTATTGTAGACTTTCTACATTTTATGAAAATTAAAAATAAAAAAAAATAAAAAAAACCTCAATTTCAGTTTTAATTTTTCAAATTATGATTTTTTTAATATTTAATTCATGCAGGCACAATTACATTTTAAGTGCCAACATGGCTAGAAAATTTAGTTTGACAACTTTGTCAGAATGGAGGGACAAAACACCCTTTATTTGTGCTAACATCATGAGCACAGAACTCAATATTGTGCTATCTGAAAAAAGGGCATGCCCATAGATACAAATTTAGTTGCTGCACTGTTGCTATTGGTCTATGGGTACAAGTGTTGGTGCTTTCTGGCCTCAATGGGCACATATAATTTATTGTGTGCAGTGCTCATTTTTTTATAGTATATGCACATTTTAGTTTTTCCAGTTATAAATAAACCTAAATGAAAAAAAAATTAAAAATTAGTGACCCAAAAGAAAAATATTTAAATACAAAAGTGTACAAAAATGATTGTACCAAAATATATTATAATGAACTTAAATGTTTATAATGAAATGTGTATACCAAATATCAGTACCGAAATGCAATATATTGTAATGTACCTAAATGTAATAAAAATATATTACAAAGAATTAAATGTAATTAATACATTAAAAGTATGAAGAAAATGAGAAATAAAATATAAAAATATAATTAATAAATGTGGTGGTTAAATACATCAAGGGACAAAAATTAGATTTTTAATCTTACACAAAGTTGTAGTCTAAAAGTCATCTTTTCCAAGGATTAAAATGAAGTTTTCTATTTACTTATTCTATCACCCCTTTGGGTGGCCTCGTTAAGGTAGAGTAGTTGGTGGTTTATTCTATCAGTTTTGCTTCTTCTACATTAAATCCTTTCTTCTTCTGTCTTGTGGGTGTATCAAGGTTACCCAGTTCTTCATTCTTTGCTCTGAAAGTTTGTGCACACCAGGTGTTTGAGTCTTTTCCTTAGACAAATTTCTCTATAATTTTCTGAAATGGTAACTGTGAATCAACTTCAAATCTTACAATCACCAATCACTGGATTGATTTCATCCATTTCGATGTCTGTTACTGTGAAACTGGATGAGAACAATTATCTACAAAGGCATTTTCAGATGCACTTGATGCTTGAAGTCCATGGAATTATGGAGTTCGTTGATGAATCAAATCTATGTCCTGCTTAGTTTTCTTCTACTTCTTCAAGATATTTAGTGGTAACATCTAGGGCTGGGTTCGGTTTTTTGCCAAAATTTTACTGAACCGAAATTTCGGTTCGGTTCAATTTTTTTTCAATTTTTTTCGGTTCAGCCCGGTTCGGTTTTTTTTTTCTTCAATAGCAAAAAAATTCCTAAGAAAACAAAGCTTGCAGCTTTGTAATACATCATTACATCTTCCATAGGATTATAAATAAATTCTCAGTCCCATTCCAAATTTCCAATAGAATCAAAGACAATGACAATTTCAAGTTTGAAGGACAATTTGCTTGCTAACGCTTGAAGGACAATAGAATCAAAGACAACGACAATAAATTCTCAGTCCCATTCCAAACTTCCACTTGCTATTTCTACATACAAATAATAAAAGAAATGAATTAAAATGTTATTTAAAATAATTAGACTTTAACCACCAAAGGAGTTATCATCAGACAGGGCATATTTTTGATTCCCATTCCACATCACCCACATACATATCCTACTATGTCATAAGATGGTTGTATTGTCTACTTGCTACCATTCATTTTTTTTTCAAAAGCTTTCTGCATCTGTAGTCTTCTTCTTCACTGCTACATGCAAATTTTCAATCAATCTTATTCTTAGGGTGCGTTTGTTTCACCTCCTTAGGAGGGATTGACTTGGACTGCTTTAGCCAAGATTATTATCCTACGTTTGATAAGGTCTTGAACCACAATAAATGGGACTAGCCTCGACCATGAGGGCCTCCCCGCTTCGCTAAACCCCGTTATCTAGTCTCATATTTTCACTTGGTATTAAGCGGGACTAAAAGAAAATTGAGGCCAAGATCCAGACCCCAACTTTTGCTTGCTAAACAGTGACATCAATCCTTAGGCTTCCTTCTTCTGCAGCGTCGTCACCATGGCCAACAGTTGGTGGTGCTTGTTCTTCCTTTTTCCCAAAAAAATCCCAGATGGCTAGCTTTGGGGATGACCATAAAATTTCTAGAAAACCCTTGGGCTTTGCTTTCTTCTTCTTCCCATCTCTAAAAAACCATTTTCTCTATTTCAAATAATGCTCAAAGCTTCTTTCTTTTTCGATCGACACTTTGACCAACTTGCCAAAAAAAAGAAAATCAAGAAATTGGAAAAATCAATGGAGTCGGTCAAATAATTGATAGAGATGATGATTGATTGGTTGTATAGATTATAGAGTTCAAAGGAAGGATGAGAAGGATCTGGATTTTGCAGGAAAAAGAGAGAGAAAAAAGAGATGGGACGGAGCTAAAGAGGGAGAAGAGGAAAGAAATTTCCAAAGAGGGGCATAGTTTTTTTAGAAAAAAAAAATGATGTTGAATTAATAATAAAATATTATTGGAAATGTATTAAATAATATAATATTATAGTTTGTTAATGATCCTGTTTTTGGTCCGACACTGCACCGAACGCTTCACTAAGTCAGTCCAGCTTATGCCTGGTTTGGTATTGAGGTGATTCTAAAAAAAGTGGGTATAAAAAAAGCTGGGAGCTTTTTTGTGTTTGGTAAACATTCAGCTTCAGCTTTTTTTCATAGTTTTGGGTGAAAAAAAACAAAAAACACAAAGCTGCAAAACCCAGCTTTGAAAAACCGGTTTTTTTTCACCTCTGTTTTACATAAACGTTTACCAAACACTACAATACTACTTTTTTATTTTCTTTTCAAAAGCACTTTTACAAAAAAGTTTACCAAACACTTTACTGCTTTATTTCACAGCTGCTTATTCTCACAACACAGTAGAAGCAGCTTTTTTTCAAAGCACATCAATACCAAACCAGCCCTTAGTCTAGTCTAAGCCAATCCAACTTAGTTCCTGAAGCTAGTCTTGTCCGAGATAGTTTGATGTAACAAACGCACCCTTAATGTATTGTTGTACTAAGGAGATGAAATTAGAAAGGGAGAATTGGAGAAGGATACCGATAGAATGATGAGAGAATACAGAGCTCAACTGGATGCTGAAAGGGCTCGCAAGCTTGCCAACGGAATTATTGTTTTGAGAGAACTAGTAACATTCACTGTCAGTAGTAGTAGAAAACTAGTAAGCATATGAAATATGCAGAGTGAAATCATGCAGCAAAACCTTAATGGTAAATCACCCTATCTATCAAGCACATTATTAAATTTAAGTCATGCTTAGTGCCCGGAATTACGACATACTTTACAATAGAACTAGTTTCAAAAGCAAAACCAGTATAAAGCATTTTGTCTTCAGTCCGTGACAACGAACTTGGACCATTTGGTTTTCCCCAATGTGGTAGCAATATCAGATCCTCTGGTTTATAATGTTTGCCATTTGTGATAAAACGAATTTAAACCTTACCTGAACTAGAAAGTAGAAACTTAGATCCTCTGGTTTCTTCCAACTGTAAGTCTGTAAGACAAAATTGTGTGTTTATTTACATAATTCCATCTTAGTGTTAAAACTTTTGCAATCAAGTAAGTGAATGATATATCCATATGTTGCAGAAAGAAACCCAAAAAATGCAAAGTATAAATCCCTCTAATCTTTATCGACAAAAAATGCCAATTAATAATTGAAAATCTGTAAAGGCCACAATGTGAATCCTCCTCTAATCCTTGTCCAATCAGAATCAATTTGAACAAATGAATAGAATAGAAAATTAGACACAGAAAAGTGTGGTAGGTTCCAGCTGCCCCAAAGGGGGAAGAATGACAGAGAAAAGGAAATTTGCAAAAGGAAAGATAAAGTTCAATTTTGATTCATACTCCAAAAGGGAATTACATGGGAATTGTATATAGCCCACAAATTCACTACAGACAAACGACTTGGCAACCCCAGTGGTGAGTCACCCCTTAACTATTACCCCATTACAAGATAAGTAAAAGTAATTGAGTCATGGTAAAATCCTAACAAGGCACGCCCCTTAGAACGAGCCTGTCCTCAGGCGACAAACTCCGCAAAACGGGCCAAGATCGAATCCACATCCTCCCAAGTGGCATTATGCTCCAGCAGACCTTTCCATTTGATTAGCCAACGAGTAACTACCTTATTCGCATGTTTGAACATGCCTCGTTGCAAGACTGCTTCTGGGAACCAGGTGAAGGCACCATCCGTGGAGACTGATGACAGAGTAGAAGATACCACTGTATGGGCGCCTAACTTGGGTTTGAGTAGCGAGACATGAAAGGTGGGTTGTATGCAGGACTGAGGGAACAGGACCAGTGTATAGGCAACCTGTCCAACACATAGCCAACACTTGAAAGGGACCATAGTAGCGAGGAGTGAGCTTGGAGTAGTAGGTTTTGGAGACCGAGAGCTGCCTGTATGGGTGGAGCTTAAGAAAGACCCAATCGCCAATGTGGAAAGTCCTTTCGGACCTATATTTGTCCGCCTGTTGGTGCATCCAATTTTGGGCCAACTACATATTCTCTTTCAGTTGGGTGAAGACGATGTCGCGATTTCGAAGAGAGACATCGACTTGGTGCACCCGGGAATAACCAGGTAGGTATGACGTGACAGTGGGCAGTGGGTAACCATAGACAGCCTGGAAGGGTGTCATCTGGATCGCTGATTGAAAGGTGGAGTTGTACCACCATTCCGCCATAGGAGCCACTGAATCCAAGTACTCGGCCTATCCATTACAAAACTTCGAAGGTAATGCTCCAAGGTTCGATTGAGGACCTCCGTTTGCCCATCAGATTGGGTGGTAGGCTGAGCTTTTGCACAAAATGGTGTTTTGTTGTTTGAAAAAAACATTCCAAAACTTGTTGATGAAAATGGGGTCTCGATCACTGACGATCGATGTCGGCATGCCATGTAAACGAAAAATCTCTTAAATAAAGATGTCTGCAATTTATGGTGCCGAATATGGATGCTTGATTGGGATGAAGTGTTC